CGTAGTATTTAGCCCGTTGGCGCTACGAGCAACCGCCCCGCTTGCCCTCCGATCCCCGCGCCTATTCTTCGAATTAATGACGCCGTCTGTACATACGTAAATGAAATGTGACTCGTTAGGAAACACTCACATTTTCTATCGTATTCTAATACTAATGCAAAATTGTAAAATGTACATATTGCATATACTTATTTATATATTTTCTTATAGTTATTCAAAGTGTAAAAATTTTTTTTTTTCTTACACATATAAATCCGATACGAGTGAGAAAATTTTAACGAAATATAAATTAATGAAATGATGCCTTGACAGTTTGAGCAAAAAAAAAAGAAATTATCACACTTCCGCACAAGTACTTCCGCAAATATACGACATAATGATTCACTCTCGTTCAGGAAGCGTATGTTGAAGTCTGATATCAAGATATTTTCCTTAAAACTCGCACAATTTCTTGTGCGTAAAAAATTATACCTTATTTTATCAAAGTAATTCTCACACACATCACAGAAACGCAAAAATACTTCAAATTTATAAACATTGAAAATTCGTTATGCCAATATTTCGTCATTTTCGTTGTTTTCTAACTTGTAAATAATCTAGATAATAAATTTATCAAAAAAACAATCTTAGTTAATTCTTTCTGTTAAGNTGCTACAAAGATCGATATCTCATATTACACGAAATAGTTTTTTAATCTGTCGTGGCTTTATTTTGTTTTCAGTATTGTTATATGCTATCTTTTACTGGTTATGCAACGCACGTTTATGCTAAATTGTTTTTCTATTGATATACTGATTAATGCTGGATCGCGCGTGCGTTATTATAACAAGCAAAACATTGTTGTTATTTAAACGTATTATTTCTATTACATCTTGTAAATTGCAATTTGGAGATATATAATTTATGAAATCTTTTTTTTTTATTTTTATCGAGATCTTTAACAAGAAGATACAACAATTTTTAGAAGCTACACGTTGAAAGCAACGTATTGATTTTTATGACGTCAAAATTAAAAATCTATTTTTGTGATCGGATTTTTACTCCACTACATGAACTAAAAAATTCTTGCTTCTGAAACGTCACAAAAACTAATATGGCTGTAACAAAGTCACAAAAACTAATATGGCTGTAAACAAAACAGTCGACCTTTAAACTGTTATGTGCGCTTTTTCGACATTTTAGAAAATTTGTATTTATTTTTTTTATTTATTGTTTTTTTTGTATTAATTGTTTTTATTTTTTGCAAATTATTTTTGCTTTTAAATGAAAATAAATTTATTAAAATAATAAAATTGAAAATGCGAAATAATGGAACTGAATTATTTCTCATTACAGCACTGAAATTAGTGATTAAAGGAGAAGCTGCTGTTCACTGGCAATCAAACAAGAGACCTAAGAAATTGCCAGAACACGTTGAATATCTAAACACCGAGCTGTATTTCCATCAAATTTATTATCTGTTAGGGAGTCCTACAGGTACTAGATATATGCGATTCTATCTATGTTGCCAAAAGTTTATAAAGCATATTATAATAAACTTGATTGAATGTAATTAAATCATTCATAAAATTGACAAGTTACAGATTCAGAAGTATTGCTACCAGGAGGTTTTCATACGTATTCCTTNCAGTTTACATTACCTCACAATATACCATGTAGTTTCGAACATNCGTTTGGCTATATCAGATATACAGCAAAAGCCATCATTGACAGACCATGGAGATTCGATCACGAATGCAAAACCGCATTTACCGTGGTAACGCCTTACGACTTAAACGTCTACAAATATCAACGTGTAAATATAATCATCACAAAACAATTTATACAATTTAACGTAATATAAACTCGTTTTTTATTTATTTATTTTTTATTAGCCCGGTGTAGATGACGAGATAACGGAAAACTTCTGCTGTTTCTGTTATTTTGACATGGGTTCAATAAGAGCAAACATTGTAATACCGTCAACGGGATTTGTTCCAGGACAAACGATAAACACGAAAGTGTATATCAATAATAACAGCAGTATCCAAGTGAGAAAGGTCTGCGTTAAACTAGAACGAGTGAGTTTAAACACCGTGTATGTTGTAACAATCACGAAATACTTCGCAATTCTATATAATTACATTTTATATATCTCAGATAATCACTAACTTCAATTTCTCAATAAACTAATTATTATTTCTTTTTTTTTTTTTTTTTTTTTTTTTTTTTGTTTCTGTAGATCCTGGAGTTCTATGCGCAATCACCATTTGATGCGATCAAAACAGATAGATCGATCGTAAAATCCGTTCACCAAATAGGCGTACGCACGGAGGTAGTGTTACATTTACTCGTACCACCAATACCGCCATCAGAGCTGATGTATTGCACTATAATAGATCTGAAGTACAACTTACGCGTCACAATTCACGTCTCAGGAATGTACGCATGCATTTTTAAAGCATAAGAAAAATTTTGCGCTTGACACGCATGTTTATCGATAGTTCAAAGTTTTTCTGTGCGATCCAATTTGTTTTATGATTACACTTCTATAGTTTCTTACAAGAGAAGAGGAAATTAACACATTTTACAGTTTCTTCAAAGATTATTGCAATTTATCCCATTGCTACACAATTCGTGAAAAACTGATTCAGCTTTTTGTGACAGGCATTGCAGCATTGTTAAGAATTATCCCGTCTTGATCGGAACGAATCCGCTACATTCGACAGTTCCATCTGCATCTTACTACTCACAATCACCATCGCAGCCTACAGCTCCTGTGATTGACTATGACCTACCGCCACCGATGCCGATGCCGATGCCGATGTCAACAAACGAATTTTCTTATCCAGGACCATCTCAACAGATAGGCTTCGCCTCGACTCAATCTGACACTTCCCCGACTAGTCAATGGAATTTACGTAAGCACCGAATATTGTCATCGTCAATATATCTAACAGTTTATCTTGAAACGGTGATATTGAATTTCATCGATTTCGATCTAAAAATATTTTTTCCGTGCAAAATTGAAATATCAAAATATCTCCGACAATTTAATGATAAGTTATTCTATTGAAGAAAGAGTTTTGAGATAATTATAATGTTTTCTAACTAGCACCACCATCATACGAGAAATACATGCAAACGGCGAGAAACATCAAGGATCGTGACGAGTCTAGTTACGTGTATGGTGCCGATAAACCTTTCGCACCGAGATATCCAGTTTTTAATTTTTCAGCATCGGGTATAACAATGAGAAATTGTCTATTAAATACTTATCTTAATGTTTAACGTGACCATACACATGTATCTTTAATTTTTATTTTTTACAGGTTTGCCCAGATAGAATAATATAAGAAGTTAAATAAAATATACGTTTATTAGCGAGCTACTTTGTGCGCTCAACGCAATTGCTAAATTACGAAGAACAAACAAAGAACTAAATTAAAAATGCAAATTTTCATTGCTACTATCTCATATACTTCGAAATGTTATTTAAGAAGAACAAGCAAGATGAGAACTAAGTTAAAAAAAAAATATATATATATATATTTCCGCAACATCCAGCAACCGACACTTATGACCGTTTATATATGTTTCTAGCTTAGAACTTTCAAGTCTTTAAAAATGAAATTTTTAATCGCTACTACTTCATATATACCTGATAATGTTACTTAACTTCTTTAATTATACATCATTGATTGTGTGTTAAGTTTTGTCATAACTGCGAATCTTTGTTACGAATGTAACGCCGTATATGTGCAAATAAATTAAATATAACAAAGTATACAACAAAGAATATAATTTTTTGATACGTATATTTTCTATTTAGTACTTAACAATAATTAAGCAATATTAGCACACGCGTTAGAACGCGCGTTTGATCGAGGAGAAGAAATCCCCGAAGAAAAAGACGTCTATCTAAGGAGCTGTAATGAAGTTAAGTGATGCAAAAATGGTATATATTTACACAATTTATTTTATATCTCAACATCATCATATTGTAATCATCATCGAGTCGTATAATAGCAAAAGTAACGTTATAATTATTACTAATACAACTTCAATAAAGGAGGATTTTTCAAATTTTGACAGGGAACGGACAGTGGGAATAACGAAACGAGGAGAATAAAAAGGAAAAGGGCAGATTCGTCCCGACAATTTTTGCAAGCCAATCGATCTGTATAATCGATCTGCAATCCAAAATGTAAAATGTGGAAAAGTGATGAAAAGTCGGAGAGATGGAGCGAGAATGTAGGGATTCTGTAATGTTAGTCGCGTGAACTTAGTTTGAACGGTCACTTCTCTATGTGAGATTTTCTATTCTATAATAAAATTGTACTCCAAATTTACAGCATAGCAACTGTATATGGTACAACTATTCACATTCAGCCACCAAATGCCCGGCGAACGTATTACTGTAGGAACTGAACCATTCATCTTTGATGCTGTCTTAAATACTCAGAATAAACGTCGGATTTCTATTGATTGATGTTTGGTAATCGGATAAACAGCCGATAAATCTTTCCGATGTGCAAAGCATCGATAAGCATTAGAACCGGCATGGCTGTGCAAAGCTATATACTCTTTTGCACTTTAAGACACTGATTTTGATCTTCACACACACATATTATTTTCTTTTTCCTTCTCGTTTCTTAATTTATTTATTCGAGTGACAGTTCTAATTAAAGATTGAAAAAAAGAAGAAAATGAAAATAACAGGAGGAACAGGCGTAAGAAATGACGAGTGACCTAAAGTGCAAAAAAAAAAATAGCACATCGGTTCTGTTTTCAGTTCAATTAAACGTTTATTCAGTTATCAAACTATCATAAAAAATTGACATTTTTCCGAAAGCTATAACTTACNTCCGCTTAAATACCACTTGCTTTTAAATGGTCCCATTGATTGATTATCAGAACTTANATTCTTTACGATAGTCAGTTACTGTGATGCAAACTTGGAACATAGCTTTCGGAACATTCTTCTAAAGTCCTCTCTTTGGCGAATCATTCTTACACATCGTAAGATCTATCGAGACGTTTTCGTGTTTTTACGTACAGAAAAACATATTCCGGAAGGAAATCGATAGAAAAAGATGTGTGCTATGATTCACAACATTCTCTGTGGGATGTGACTAACGTTCGTNAATACGTACGATCCTAAATCGGCATTCGGTATTTCTAAAAAGTTTACTCTTCGAATTCGATACACAATTTAAGTAAGAGAGTTGGAGAAACTTGCTAAAAATTATAAACATACAGACACAAGGATAATCAACTCGTAAGGAATATTTGAAACGCTCTAGAACTTCTTAATATGTAAAATTACAAGAAACAATAACAGCAAAGTCAGGAATTATGAGCATGGACTTGTTTTTGCTTCAAAAAAGTTAAAATTTTTGCAACATCGAAATTTANAAGCAANAATAAATACATGACACTGTATATATTATATGTGTATGTGTATATATATGTACACACATATTATATCCACAAAACCTAAATATTACAACAGTTTTAAAAAATGAAACGTCACTTTTAAAACAAATTGATTTTTATGTCCTTATGACTCGATAATGTTTCCTGACTTTCTTTCTAAATTTTTTCGAATATCCTGGTTGTACGGGAGGGAAAAGGAACACTGTGCGCTCCGACTTTACAAAAATTTGTTTCGCTTATATATTACAATAACCTTCCCTCGATTTAAGACATTCAACCCTTAATATATTATTATCATAAATAAATTTGGTCTATCGGTAATATTGTGAATACGCCGGTACACATACTGGCAGTATTTGGTTAAGTAAAAATCATGATCACTAGAAGAGGTAACTCGTACGAGATGCGATAAATTTGAAATAATAAATTTCTTTCGTATTGTAATTTTTTCTTTTTTACATCTTACATGAAATGTATGTAACATGTATGTATCTAACACATAATGTTGCTTTTAAATGATATTAAAAGTATATTGCTGATTTTATACCCACGCACGTTACTACTTCCAGTAAACTTGATTTGACATTGTTATAAGATTTGCCGGGGTTTTTTTTTTTGCAAATCTATCCACGATAGAAGCAGAATTTCCCGATATACATTAGACGCTAATAAAATACTTTCATTTATTGTTATACAACATTCAGCATTTACAAATAATCTATAGGTGCGAGATAGGATCGTTAATGCCCTCTGCGATTATCTCCTAATAAAGAAACATAACGGTGTGATGTTTCTGTGAAATGTCCAAAAAGAACGGTCAATGCGAAAGCGGCATGTAGACATTTATCAAAAAGACTTATATTTTTTTTTCTAGTCTTTACGAATCTTAAGTGATTTTTATGACAAGCGATGATTTAAACGCGAGATAAACGCAAATGAGATAACGCTACTTCGTGAATAGATCTACCAAATAGAACCGATAGGGGATTGTTGTGAGTCAGGTAGATCGGCTTGAAAAAATGGGCGTTGTAACAGGTGTCGTCAATATTTCCAACTTGATCCACCAAGACAGCCCCGGTCAGCACGTATATGTAAACTATCGCAACCCACTTACTTGCGCCTCTCGCAGCGCTTCGTTTTAAAAAAATAATCAATGTAGTGTTATTGTTGCCGCTGCAGTGTGGCGTATAATGGGTTCAAGACAAACATCAACATTTCGCTTCTACTTGGTATGTATGTACGAATGTATACGTATGCACGTACGCGCACATTACCAGTACAACACCATTAACATTAACTGAGATTAAGAAAAAGGCATTATTTTACACTGTGTTGATCCAAGTCATGAACCAGAGAACACTGAGTCGTGCATACGCTGTGTTTTCCTTTTTTTTTACATGTATTATTATATGTAATGTGTTTGTGTACGCATGTTGTGTTCTGTATTATGTATGTTGTGTCTTAAAATCACTTTACATTATTACACTGTGTTTGTTTTCTTTCAGTCCATATGCTTTTCCAAAGACCTGAAAAGGAACAGGCGTATTTGCCCTATTTGCGTTTCTCTCTAGAGCAATTTGTTTGTACCATGCAACGTAAAATCATGCTTTTGTTGATACTGTAAAATTTATTAATCCACTTTTTTCATATAAAAATTGGTTTAGGTAAATGCAACATTATTGACAACATACATACATGTGTAATTTTTTTTTTTTTTTTTTTTATAAAATCATGCGGTAACTAAAAGGTTAATATTATAAAAGAAAAAAATCAGTTTATGATAGATCAATTTAGAGGTAGAAATGTTATGTGATAAAGAATCTCTTCACTCTCAATTCATCTAAAGTAAAAACTAATAAAAATGTCAAAACATACCGTACTTAATTGTGTATATGTTTAACCTTCTCTCTTAACAGGTGCTTCAGCTAGTCCTTTAACCTTAAGCCGATCTGCCGTTTTAAGAAAAGCTGGTAGCTGATCTTGAGAAACATTTACCTCACCAGCATACATAAATTCTAGAATTGCCTGAAGATGATTGTATGCGACATCCTTTAGTATTATAATTGGATGTTTGGACGGATTTTCCTGAATAAACATATATTAAGAAACTTCACTTATAACTGCCACCAGAAACCAGTAACCGCGATAACATCAGTGACATTACCTCTAATAAGGACTTAAAGTAAGGACTACACGCAGATAAGACCATCTTATGTGCTTTGCAAGTTTGACCATCGCAAGCCAATGTCACATCCGTGAAGCTTTTCTCATCTCGCAGATGTTTGAAGGATGATACCATGTTGGATTGGAAATCATTCCACTTAAGAAAAAACTGTTGCTGTTCTCCCGCCATCGTAGATGCTGAGATTGCCCTATAACTTCTGCGTGATTGTACAGTCTGTAACATCAACATTAAATTTAAAAAATATTATATCAAACTTTAGATACAACAAATCTCAACTGACTACATTTTTATTCAATTTATCTAAAATACACAAAAAAAAATAAAAAAGTAAACAACAAAAACAGACGGAGGATGTGATTCGCAAAGACGCGTATAGTTCATCGATAAACCGCGGCAAAACTAAAGAAAAAAAAGATGTGTTTATAACGAGACACCTTCTATTAATCGCATTGCAGTAAGCAATAAAAATTTCAATAAAAACAACAACAAAAATATCACGAGAGAGACCGATACTTAGGGGAAACGTCCAAACGCGAAACTTCTCGCGCCAGACTCTTTGTAGGTTAAACCAGAAGACGTCTCGACGAGCGAGCGAGCGGGACGCGAATCAGCTGAATTTCGAAACGAAACAGAACATGTCACATCGCAAATAAACACAAACGGATCGCGACAGATTCACGTTCGGATCGTAAAGTTGCACTATACGTATGTAACATGCGTGCGTCCATTCGTCGGACCGATCCGTCAAAGGGTGCACGGGCCCAACAAAACACACGGCCCACAACACGACACGGAAAAGCGCGACGCGAAGGGACAAATTTCACAACGGTCGCGCGAAGTTCCTTACTTCGTGTCGTCGACGAGCCACCGAATCCTGGACGAGACAACGTGGCCGATAACCTGCTGGAATGAGACGCGAAAAATACGCAGCGCCGAAAACTTTTTACGCGATCACGAATTTTTTGTTGTGGCTAATATCACGGCGAGGAAATTCGGTCACATTCGAGTCTTTCCGGCGACAATCGTTTTTTCGCGTAATGTCGCTCGTAATCTGCTCGTACCGACCGAAGTTAATTCTCAAACGCACCGTTAGATGACACAACCGACGTGAAATCATTTGAATTCAAATAAGCCGCTTCTGAAGAGAGGAAACGAGCGACTGTTGTCGGCGCATACGCTATGCTCAGATAAAGGACAAGGTTCTATTCCGTTCTATGTCTACAGCCTCTTGCACAATGGACGGAATAGCGATAGCGATAGAAATAACAAAAGTTTTAAAGAGTTTATATTTAAAAATAAAGGTAGGAACAGCGGAATCTAACATACAAAAATACACGTGTATCAATTACAGATCAGAAAACGGAATAAGCAATAGCGATAAATTTTCCGACGAGTTTGAATTCTGTGTCCATTGCCAGAGAGAAGTCTGAGAGCGGTCAGATCCATAAGAGAATGTGTAATCACTTTTCTGCCCCGTAAACTAGCGCATGTTCACGGGTGGTACACAATGGAACTACGCAGCCAGTCCGACGAGCGACATGTCGGTGCGCTATGTCCACAGCGTGCGGTTCTATTCTGTGCTATGTACACGCGTCCAAATGGTCACCTTCTTCAGGCGTGTGAGTATATTCGAGAGCGTGAATTTGATTTTTTTTGAAATTTAAAATGACCGATCTCGTGATGAGAAGATGAGAAAGGAAAACAGAAAAGGATAAGAAAAACCATTGCAACGTTTCGTACAACATAAATGTGATATATCAGAAAAGATGTGATAGTCGAGAAAAGAATCTTATTTTAGCAAGCAACATCAGAATTCGTGGAGTGTAGTCAAATATCATCTCCTTTTACATCATCATTTGCTGCTGTGTGCTTTATAAATTTTATTTTATTTTCTTCAAAATATTACATATATATATATAGATACAAAATACACCAAAAACCATATATATTATACAAAGGTGTTTTAACGGTACACAAATATAATGTCTGAAAAGTTGCAATTCCAAGAAATATAGCTTTTGCTTTTTTATTTAAAACTCTTTATCAGTGAGTTTTCTATTTCCAAGTTTCATTTTACAATTTTTTTATACATTACAATAGAATACAATTCTAATACACATTTATTACATAAAACATACACAATATAATACAATATAATACAATATTATATAATACAATATAAATAGTTATATATAATCCTACCTACCTACCCCTATAATATATCTACCTATCTTAGACATATCTTAAACGTTACTAGCGTTATTAATTAGGATTAAGGCTGCATAACAGCCTTGATCCTAATTTGACATTTTGATTTCTTCTTACTTATTCGGTCTACCATATTTCCTACCTACCCGGCCTAATATATTTTCTACATGCGCTTGTAGATACGCATCCCTACCTATTTACTTACCTACTTTGGAAAGTTTTAAAATCTATCAAATATTTTACGCGAGGGACAGTTGTTTTAAAATTAAAAAATCTTATTTTAAATTTATTTTAGTTTCGCGACCGAGTTTTTATATTTTATTTAAAGAGAGTGTATACCCACCCGATAAAAGCGTACCATATGTAAATAGATGAGATAGAATATAAAAGAAAAGAAAAAATATATATTTAAATACATATATTTCAAATATATATTTAAATATATATTTTTGCAAAAATAAACTAGAAGAGAATAAATGTAGAGAATAA